GTGTAGCCAAATAAATATGTCCTTCTTCCCATGCACCTTCTTTTTATACACACAGAAGTGTGCTGTGTGTATTATTCTGTCCCTTGCTTTTTCTTCATTTTCTCGGTCTTCCTCCACCCCCAGCTACACAGGATACCATTGAACTGATGTAATTTATTTAACTCCTGCCTAACTATTTGGCATTTAGTTGTTTGCAGTCTTTTGCTATTGTGGTACTGCAATGAATAATCTCATTTAGATGTCATTTTGCACACATGTAGGATAAAGTGTTACAAGAGAAGTTGCTGCGTCAAAGGGAATGCCCATTATAATTTTGATAGATGCTACCAAATTGCACTCCAGGAGTTCATGCCAATTTCTAGCCCTACCAGCATTGGATGAGAATACCTGTTTCCTCAAACAACACACATTTGTTATCAAACCTTTTGACCTTGGCTGCCTGATAGATAAAAAAATAATCTCAGTGTAATTTTTAATGATAGTCCAATCTTGAAAAACAATAGAAGATAGCACATTTGCTACTTTTGCCTTTATGATGATTATCTTGTGTGGGTGTTTCCAACTTTTTGAAGAGGCAGAGGAATTGGAATTGCCTTTTTATTTTTAACTATTTATGTCTGCCTGTATAAGGGATTAATGGTTAAAATATTGAAAAGCAAATCCATATACTCCTTTTAAGAATAGACATCATATAGATGATTTGATATGGTTAAATTAGTTGTTAAAAGTTGTGTGCTATGGTTCTATTGATGATGAAGCATCCTCTCTAATCTTGTTATGACATATGGAACTTAGGATCAAAGAGTTGCAGAAACACAGCACCAGCAACTTCAGTGAGGTCAGCGGTGTTTGTCCCCAACGATCTCCTGTCTGAGTAGTTCTTCACCAGCTCTGTCTTAGTGCAATCCTGCTGCCTTTGCCACATTCATAAGACAGAAACTTAAGCATTTGGAAAAGACGGTGTTTAGATCAAAGCATCAGAACACTTCAGAGTTGGGAGGGCTTTAGTGCCCCCTCAGCCAGTTTTTTTTTTCTTCACTGGGAAGTCATAGAGAAGAACTTGCATGTAATACTTGCCTTGAAAAAGGAATATGAGCCGGGCTCGGTGGCTCAGCCTGTAATCCTGCGCCTTTGGGAGGCTGAGGTGAGTGGATTGCCTGAGCCCGCGGGTTCGAGACCCGCCTGGGCAACTTGGCGAGACCTCATCTCTACAATAAATCAAAAAATTAGCCAGGTGTGGTAGCACGCGCCTGTAGTTCCAGCTACTTGGAAAGCTGAGGCGGAAGGATCACCGGAGCCCACCAGGTCGAGGCTGCGGTGGCCGGGAGCAGCCACTGCACTCCAGTCTGGGCGACAGAGTGAGACTCCAACTCAAAACAAACAAAAAAATAAATAAATAAATAAAAAGAAAAAGGGACATGATTTTAATCATTATTATTTTTTAGATTCCAGGACTGCTGAAAGTAAATTAGGTGTTTTCAGGAAAAGGGGAGTTTGCTTTGGGCTTTATATAAAATAGCAAACTGGGTGGCAGGTAAGAGTGGTGATAAGAAAGGGCTTTTGGAAAGATTTGCCAACAGAGTCTTATGTTAGATTGCTTGTCAACACAATGTGGTCTACCATGCTGTGAGACAGAGAGAAAAATGTATTATAACTTAACAAATAATCAAAACAGGACTAAGTGTCTCAACACACAACAAGCTCCCCTGGTCATACTCGGTTTGTGCCAGTGTGAAAGTTAGGACTGGCATAAATCCCTGCCAGTCATCACCGGAGCAATGAACTTGCATACCAAGTTCAAAGCATCCCAATGCAGTCCAGGTTCCCTTATCTAGCATGTCAGGGTGCTAGTTAGGCCCAAATCCAGCTTAAAATAGGCCTGGTTTTCAGTATGGTTATTCTTCCTGAGATTTCTGGGTGAATGAACGAGTGCTAAGCACACATGGAAACATTCTTTGCATTACCAAAAGGCTTAGGCAGGTATCTCGAGTCTCCTCTTTCCTCACTAACACCTCAGCAAACTTCCAGGCCACTGGGGTGATCATATTATCTCTCCCCAACATTCCTACTCCAGCCCCCATTTTCCCTTGGCTCTCTGCCCCCCCCTTTTAAATAGCTGCATTAAGATATTCATATAACATACAATTCAACTTTTAAAAGTATACAATTCAGTGGTTTTTTTCACTGTGTTCACAGAGTTGTACAACCATCATCACAGTCAGCTTTATGACATTTCGTCACCCCCCCAAAATAAATTGCACACCCATAAGCAGGTACTCTTGGCCCCTTTCACATATCCTTCTCTAGCCTAAGACAACGAGTCTACCTTCTGTCTCTGTAGATTTGCTATTCCAGCATCTCATATGCATGCCAGTATGGGTGGCTTTTTGGTTTTGTATGTGACTGGCTTCTTTCATTTAGAATAATGTTTTCAAAATTCATTCATGTTGTAGCATGCATCAGTAATTAATGCCTTTTTTATGGCCAAATTATAATCTATGATATGGATATGCCACACTTTGCTGATTTGCTGGATGGTAGACATTTAGATTGTTTCCACTTTTTGTATACTATGAATAATACTGCTGTGAACATCCATATACATATTTTCATGTACATTTATGTTTTTATTTCTCTGAGGCATATACCAAGGGGTGAAATTGCTGGGTCATAGAGTAACTCTGTTTAGCATTTTGGGGAACTACCAGACTGTTTCCCAAAGTGGCTGTACTATTTTGCACAACAGTGTATGAGGGCTCCAGGTTCTGTACCTCCTCCCAGGTAACACTTGCTACTGTCTGTCTTTTTGATTGTAGTTATCCTAGTGGGTATGAAGTGGTATCTCACTGTGGTTTTAATTTATACTTCCCTAATGACTGATTTTGAACATCTTTTCATGTGCTTATTAGAGTTTTGTATATCTTCTTTGGAAAAATGACTGTTCAGATCCTCTGACTGTTTAAAAAATGGGTTATTTATCTTTTTATTATTGAATTAAAGGACCTTGATGTATTCAGGATATGTATCCTTTATTAGATATAGGATTTGTACATATTTTCTCTCATTCTGTCATTTGTCTTTTCACTTTCTTGATGGTATCATTTGCAACACAAAAGTGTTACATTTTGAAGAAGTCTAATCTATCTATTCTTTCTTTCATCCTGTATGCTTTTGGAGTTATAGCTAAGTAGCTGTTGTCTAAGCTAAGGTCACAAATATCTACTCCAGTGTTTTAAGAGTTTTATAGTTTTAGAGTGTACATGTAGGCTCATAATTCACTTGGAGTTAATTTTTGTGTATGGTATGAGGAAGGAGCTTAACTTCTTTCTTTTGCATGTGGTTATCCCAGTTGTCCTGGCACCACCTTGTTGAAGGCAATTATTTTCCTTTTGAATAGTTTTGGCATCCTTGTTGAAAATCAGTTGACTGTAAATGTAAGGATTTACTTCTGGACTCCCACTTCTGTTTCATTGATTTATAGTTCTACCTTCATGCCAGTACCATCCTGTCTCAATACACGTAGTGTTGTCATATATTTTAATGGGAGAGTTAGGGTAGAAGTGGGCAATCTAGACTTTTTATATTCCTGGTCTGATCTGCTGTTGGATTCTTTTAGATCCCTCCTCAAGTTTTCAACCACACTTTATTTCTCCTTTGTTTATCCTTATGATGTATCCTCTTGCTGGTTTAATTAGGCGATGGCATCCCTGTAGTCCTGAGGAATCCCAGCTCCCTGGTATCTTAGTTTTCTCCTAACAATGTCAGCTAACCTCGTTCTGACTCAGTTGCTTGGCTCTAATGGGCTTTCTCAGATGTATAGAATTCAACATTTGAGCTGTGAAAAGATGCTCTTGTTTTGGAAATTCTCCAACTGGTTAGGTTCAGGACAAGAAGCTTACTGTACTGCTAAAAGATTTAAAGATCTTTCCAAAAGGCTATGCAAGCAAGCATTCAATTCTAGTAGATCGCTCTCCCAAGTGGGCTGTGACAGATTTTCAAAGCCTAATCTTGCCCTCCCTGGGCTTTTTTTTTTCCTTGCAGGCATCTACAGTATTGTGTCATGGGCATGAGATTTACTGATCTTTGTAGTTGTGGAGAAATGGAGGACAGGTCAGAGATCTGCCCAAGGAGGTGGAACTCTGGGCAGGACCACTTATTATCATTTCAAGTTGCTAAACCAAAAAATACAAAGTAGTATCTGGAATTGACAATAACTATCCTGTGGTTGTTGCTGTTCCTTTCTGTTGTAAATTGTGTGCAGCATAAGCTCATTTTCAGATGCTAGTACTTAGAGTTTACACTATGAACCATCTCATAACTTAAGCAAATTTTAATTTTTGTTTTATATTGGACAGTAAAAAGTGTGCTCAGCAGCTGCCCTTCATAAAAGGCCTTCTATTAAAGGCTCCGCCCATGCAAAGGGGGCAGGGAAGTGAACACATCAGAAGGCAAGGGTTATGAGGATGGGCTCTGGATTCTGTCTGCTTGAATGTATTTCCTCCTAAGTGATCTTGGACAAGTTACTTAATCTACCTAAATCTTAGGTTTTAAGAGACTCAGTTTTTATCACTCATATTCAATAATTTATTAAGAATAACACCTACCTTTTGGAATTATTAAAAGGTTGAAATCCCATGGGAAGGACTTAACACAGGCAAAGGTTGGCAAACTTTTTCTATAAAGAAACAGATAGCAAACTCTTTAGACTTTGTGACATCACAGGCCTTGCGATCTCTGCTAGTCACTTGGCTCTGCTGTTGTAGCTTGAAAGCAGCCATAGACAACCTGAAAATGGATGGACGTGGTTGTGTTCCAATAGCACCGCATTTGTAAAAACAGGTGACAGGCTGGATTAGGCCTACAGGCTGTTGTTTGCTCACCCCTGCTTCTCACAGGGCCTGGTGTGGAGTGGGCTTTTCATAAATGTCAGCCATTCTCTTAGCTTGGAGATAGCTCTTTGATACCAGTTCCCTTGTTCACTCACTCTATGTTTTTAACAGAATGTCGAGGTCCTGGCTAGCCGGAGCAACACTTCAGAGCAAAACCAGGTGGGGGCTGAAATACGCGTGAAGGCTCTGAAGGAGGAGAATGAGAAGCTGCAGGGAAGAATTGGAGAACTGGAGTGGAGTGTCACTCAGCTTCAGAGGCAGATTGATGGCATGAAAGAGGACAAAGCCAAGGTGAAGGAGACGCTCAGGAAGTACGAGGTAAGGCTCGCTGGGCCCAAGCCCAGGTTTGGCACCTGCTGATCCTGCTTTCCTGTTTAAGTGGTTTCAGAAGTGGGGAAGGGATTTGTTATCATAATTTAGTAGGAAAGGTCATGGCAATAGTGAACACATCCTCTCTGCAAGCCATTTCTTTTGTTCCTCTGGGAGTGGTATGACTGGAGGCCTGGGAACAGGGACGATGAAGTCAGGTGGAAAACACATGTGAAGGTCCAGGAATCCCCATTCACCCGGATATCAGACATGCTCAGTTTTCCAAGGCTTTGCAGGGACCTCCAGACACCTGAAAAGGCTATCTTAACCCCGCCATTAGGCTGATTCTCACTTAAGACTATTCTGTCTTAACACATAGTTGATGTTTTTGAAGTTACACAGGTTTTTAGCAAACCAATTATCTGATTTGTGAGACCTCTAGAAGTGGGAAGTTGTTAGCAAGGGATGCACACTCAAGGCAGTAAGAAAGGACAACTGACATTGAAAGAGGAGCCAGATGTGGTCATTGTCTTAGTCTGTTTTGTGCTGCTGTAACAGAACCACAGACAGGGTCATGTATCAACAACAGAAATGTATTTCTCATGGTTCTTAATAGTCTAATATCAAGGTGCCGGTTGGTGAGGGCCTTCTTGCAACATCATAATGTGTGAGGCATCACATGGTGGAAGGGCAAAGGTAGGGGTGGTGGGGGATGTAGAGAAACTGACCAGAGAGGACCTAACTTGTCCTTTTATAAGGAACCCACTCCCAAAATGATGACATTAATCCATTCATGAGGGTAGAGCCCTCATGGCCTAAGCCTAATCTCCTCCTCCTCTTCCTCCTTTCCTCTTCTTCTTCCTTTCCTCCTCCTCTTCCTCTTCTTCCTCCTCTTCCTCCTCCTTCCTTTTTTTTTTTTGAGTCGGAGTCTCACTGTCACCTAGGCTGGAGTGCAGTGGCATGCTCATGACCACCGCAACCTCAGTCTCCTGGGCTCAGGCGATCCTTTCACTTCAGGCTTCTAAGTAACTAGAACTACAGTTGCATACCACCACTCCTGGCTAGTTGTAGAGATGAGGCCTTGCCAAGTTGTTCAGGCTGGTCAAACTCCTGGGCTCAGGCAATCCTCTCACCTTGGCCTCCCAAAGTCCTAGGATTATAGACATGAGCCACTGCACCCGGCCCTATTCACTTCTTAAAGTTCCTATCTTTTAATGCTGTTCCAAGAGCATTTAAGTTTCCAACACATATTTTCTGGGGGACACATTCAAACCATAGTAGTCATCCATCAGAATCACTTGGCTATCTTTTACAAAATTGTATGTACCTGGGTTCATTCAATATCAGCTGTTTCCAAATCTCCTGGGGGTAAGGCTACATATTTGTATTTTTAAAAATCACTTCAGAATATTAGATTGTTCATACCTGGCTAAGAACTGGAACTGCACAAGTACACACATCCAGGAACTCGGCTGTTGTGTGCCACCTTGGGCCTATGACAGGCATGCTGTGACCACTGTCACCGCTGTGTTTGTGGGTGTCTTCTGCATTCATTTCATTCCACCAAATCAGTCAGTTTCAGAGATATAGCACACATCTGAATGCACACTGACTCAGTGTTTCATTCTAGGGAGAAATACAACAATTAGAGGAGGCCCTCGTGCATGCCAGAAAAGAAGAAAAAGAAGCTGTGTCAGCCAGAAGGGCCCTGGAGAGTGAACTGGAGGATGCTGAGGTAAACACTGAGAGCTGCTATCATGACTTTCTCATAAAGGAAACCCAGAGAAGCAAAAGCAGAGGGACATGCAGAGATTGTCATTGGCCCTTTCTTTCCAGGTAGTTCCCTTTCACCCTACTCACCACTCTGGGCTTTAAACTATCCGTCTAGACCAGTGGTTCTCAACTGGGGGACATTTTTAATGTCTGAAGACATTTTTGGTTGTCACAACTGGGGAGATGCTATTGGCGTCCAGTGGGCAGAGACTAGGGATGCTGCTAAACATCCCTAATAGAGGATGGTTCCCGCAACAAAGAATGATCTGGCCCCAAATGTCATTAGGGTTAAGGCAGAGAAATCCTAGTCTAGACATTAAAGAACTTAATAGCTTTCCAAAGATAAAATATGAATTGTGTGAAAGGCCAGCCGGATTGGTCCCCAAGGCGGTGTGGAGTCGACTTCCTGGCAGAAGCCAATTTCTCTTCTCCTCTGGGCAAATGCACTCCACAGAGTATGGTCCTGCAAGATGGCTATTATGAGGGGCAGGAGGAAGTTATTTCCTTGAAACAGGATAGCTATCTCTATTCAAAATCAGGAGGTTTTTAGAAAATTAGATTTTCCCATTTGAAGGTTAGAAGGATTATTTGAAGTACCTTCTAAAGAAAGCCTGCCCTGCAGTTCTAAATTGACTTTGCACAATGACCACAATGCTATCCAGGTGTGTCCTTCCTTCTCTTGGCTTAGGGTTTTAAAGAGCCAGCACTCACACATCCCTAGGCGAGTTTCTGAGGAGGTAAAAGCCAGTGTTTTTGAGAGTTGTCTAAGAGGAAGGTTGCTAAAGTTTCCTATTAGAGACCCACTTATACCCAGAAATGGGTGGTGCACAGGCATATTAAAAGTGCTAAGAGCTGAGTCAGGATCCAGGTTTATAAATGCCTAATGGCAGCTTTTATTTTTTATTTTTTTTTAAGACAGACAGCTTCATCTCCTCAGGCTGAAGAAGAGAGAAAGGATTTACATGTGTCAGGCATGACTCAGGGACTCTCACCCCCAAATCAGAAGCCTGTGCCTTCTCGGCTTTGGACAGAATCTTGTTTTTGAATATAGTAAAGTCCTGATTTTTTTCCTGCATTTGTGTCTGACTGCCTTCACTTTGGATTTCTTTCTTTAAACCTAGATCTTTGTCACAAAATCTTGTGGGGTTGATTTTGTGTAGGTGGCAATCTCACCGTGCTTCTGTTTAAGGCTTAGGCTAGCTACTGTTACCCAACCTGGCTGCCAAAGTGTGGGGTTCAAATTTGTGAGCTGGTTAGGTGCAGAGAGAGGGGGGAAATATTTGTACTCTATAAGGACAGCCATCTGCATGCATCTTCATGTCATGTCCACACCAAGTGCCGGGTGCAGCTGTGAGAGTCTCTCAGAACTTTTCCTTTGGTCAAACAAGAACTTTTCACACATATGGAAGTAGTTCCCTCACTGGGAATCTGCAGTTCATAGTTAATTCAGTTTACAGAACAGATGATGGCCTTGAGGTCTAGAGATCTGAATGTAATCCCCACCCACCCCCACCTCAGGATCTCTAGGCTTGCTGGGAAATGCTCTCTGACATGTTACTTTTGTTGAGCCTTGTTTTCCCAGTGGTGTGCAGATGGTGAGAATGCCTCATGCAGTGTGTGGCCCTGCTGGCCACTGGCAGTGTGGTCTGGCAATAATTTAAAATGGGCCTGGCAGTTTTTCCATCTTTACCTGAATTATCTGGTCTTAAAAGTAGTGCCATAGAAAAGTGCACCATCATTCAAAAATGTTTTATCTAAAATTGAGTCCCAGCTAAGCAACTCCTTTTGTTGCATCACTGCATGTCTCTCATCCTTGAAGCTGGCAGCCAGAAGAGAGCTTAGTCCTTGAGGAAGAAGAAAAAGGAACTGGTATTGTTTTCACACATTTTACATTTCCAGACTTTTCTGCCTTTAGCAATCCATTGCATCCTCATGTATGATAAATATATTTCTTTACATAGTAGCTGAAGACCATGGTGAGCTTATGTCTGATTTTCTAGGACACAGTCAAAAAGTGGCAGAGAGTCATAGAGATGCCATCCTTGGTTTGCTTGACCTCTACCACTTGCTTCAGGACTGGGCTGATATCGAGGTCTACTTGAGCTGCATTCAAGACATCTATGGTTCCATTTACGAGTATCTTCTGCAGATGGAAAGGTGAAGAAATCTTATCTGCAGAAGCCACATTTCATTTCCTTCAGCGAGGGATGATAGAACATATTCTCTGTTTTCATCTTCATCTGTCTCTGTTGAAACAGTGGAGGAGAAAAGCCCCAACACTTCCACTGTTGGGGTTTACAGACACTGTGTGGCAGGGCTCTGAGAAGGCCAATTTCCTTCTGGTCAAGCTGCTCATTCTTTGAAACTCATAGGCTCATGTGCAACTTGATTGTGTAAATATAGATTAATTGGGACTGTAGTCAGTTATGGAGTAAAAGGCTCTGCGTTCATTGATAGATAACGATTCCCATGCTAAAAGGCACTCAATACATATTCATCAGCATTGTGTCTTGGATTCTTTTACCTGATAAAATTTCCCCCAATTTTTGTCCCATTGTTTGTCAATGGGCATGTATTGCTCATCACAGAAGTAGAGTCACCGCAGCTGTGGAGTGTTTCACTCCTAATATTGCTCACATGAAGGATTAAAAAAAATGCACAGTTGCCAAGTTTGCTTCTTTTCATGTGAATTTGGGACATACGAATTTTCTCAGCAGTAGCTTATTGGAATATATTTCTTGAATAACTGAAGAGGCAGAATTTTGTTCTAGACAGTGTTTCTAAACCTTAGGATATATTAGAATTATCTAGTGAACTTTCAAATGCAAATTTGTAGGTCCCACACTAAGAAAAATTGTGATTCCTTCTTAAAGGGCTAGAATTTACATTTTAAGTAAAGAGTACCCCATCTTTGCTTGCGGATTCTGACATAAGAAGTCTTTAGACCAATTTGGGGATTGGTATTCATTTTCAACCACTAAGTGTTTATCTTATGCCTAATAGTGAATATACCAAGATAGAAAATCTACTTTTTGCCTTTACAGATCTTACTGCCTTGCAATAGAGGCAAACACACAAGAAATAATTTAAAAATAATTTAGCAAAACCATTCTTCTAGGCAATGTATATGCATAGGGGTGGAGGTGTTGGCAGACCCCAAGCCCAGAGTGGGTGACTCTGGGGTCTCTGCTGGCTCAGGAGGAGGGGGCTAGGCATCCCTGCCTGCACAAAGAGTAGAGCAGAAATGCATAAGCCTTGTGGAGGTTGAGTGGAGCTGAGCTGACCTGGTGCCCCTTGGGGTAGGTGGAGCTGAGCTGACCTGGTGCCCCTTGGGGTAGGTCCAAGAGGAGGAAAAAGAGAGGCTGGGGGATTCCCTAGGGGCATGGGTTGAGTTGGATCCAGAAGGAAGCCATTGCTGGCCCTCTTTATTTATTGTTTTTATGAATTTACATTTTTGAGATACAAGTTCCTGAGAGTTTTATCCCATGTCATACTTCACTGGTACCATGACTCCTTCTCCTTACCCTTTGCCCCAGTACCACTAAATAAACTATAAACAGAAACCCCAGGGTTTGACCCTGCCTCTGGTGTGTGTCCAGCGGCGGCTGTGCTGGGGCCCACTTCTGCTAATTGCCCCCACACTGAACTTCTGATTACCTTCCTTTTGCCACTGTCTTTTCCCCAGCAGCTTCTGTTGACCTTGTTTCCCTGTAGCAATTAACTTCAGCAGCCCGGCCACGTTGGCTGCTTCTCAAAGCACAGCCAGCACAGCAGAGCCTGGGGAACTGGAAGGCCACTGCAGGTGGTTTTTTAGCCCCATGTCATGTGATTGGTAGAGCAGAACTATTCCTATGCTCTGCAAACCAGGAGAGCCGAAGTGAATTGGAATGTTTTCAAGATCCTAAGTTTCTGCATGTGACAGCGGCTTATAAACTGTTAAGCACTGTACAAATATAAACCATAGTTCTTATGCAGCTTCTGCAGGGACACAAGACCCCACTGACCCTAAGCAGTTCCTTCAGCCCTCAGCACCTGTTAATATTTTCTAGATGAGCCAGTGTGTGTTTGGGTCAGGTTGCTCTGTTCTGAGCTGTGCCCTTCTTGTTATCTTCTCACTGATGGCCCTACACTTATCCATTTAAAGAAGCTGCCATAACCTTCCTAAGGCATCTTAGGATTCTGTTTTGGCATTGCGTGTTGCTTACATAAAGGACATAAGTCTGTGTGGCTCTGTGAGATGAGAGCCTCGGGGGGAATCAAGGAGAATGTTGCACCTTGATGGCTGCATTGGGCACTAGTATTTGGTGCTGATTCACTAACTAGTGTCTCCTCCATTTAACACCTTCTGTTCATCAAGTTCATCAACCTGTGGATTTCCAAATTATTTTTGTCTATGTCTGAGTCCAACTCACGGATTCTGTCGATTGCAACTCCCTTTCCCCAAGTAGACCTTTGTTTCATGGGGCAGTTTTCTCTTATATATTCATTTTTAGCTGCTTGAATTGTAAGGACCATCTGCACAGCACAGTAGATTCTAGAATATTAGGTGCCATGCTGTATATCACAGGATATAAATTGCCAAGTAAGTTTAGGTGGGTGTATTGTAGAACTTTACTTCCATTTTCAAGCATGAACATTCAGATTTCTGCTCTCCTGAATCCCTACCACCAGCACCCTGGGCCACGTATTTCTGTAGCACATCCTTTGTTTGCCCCTTCATTCATGTGGATGTTTTTGGATAAATCAATTTTTCTTTTGGATCCTGGAATTTCAGAACCAACAATGTCCTTGTGATGACTTTGTTTTGATCTTTTTCCTTATCATGGTTGTAAACAGGTCTGACTGCTTTGTGGTGTGGTTGTGAAATTCTCTCTGCCTCCCGTCCCTGTGGCTGCCTGGTAGGTAGATGACAGCACTGTCCTTTCCCTGCCATCTACAGAGAAATCTGAGTCGGACCACCCAGGAGCAGAAGCAGTTATCTGAGAAGCTGAAAGATGAGAGTGAGCAGAAGGAGCAGTTAAGAAGGCTGAAGAATGAGATGGAGAATGAGCGGTGGCACCTTGACAAGACCATTGAGAAACTGCAGAAGGAGGTGAGGGAGCCGAGGAGGAAGAGAGGATGCAGAGCAGAATGGCTTTGTTGGGACCCAATCCCCTCAGAGCATTTGGTGGAAGCTGGGGAAACCTGCAGTCAGGTCTAAGCACAAATGTCCAGGGATCTGTAATCCCTGAAGTAGCTCTTTGGACTTGTTGAGAATCCCCAGATTCTCAGAGAAACTGTAATGCCAATACCCTCTGGATTCTGGGTACCAGAATCACCTCTTGACACTTCACAGAAGAAGCTTGTGTGTAAGTGTGGACTTAACCAACGTCACCTGAACTGGAATCTATGTCTCTGTGTGGTCTGCGCATTTGCATCTATCTTGCTTGTACGGGAACGTGAATGGCAGTTTTCAAACCCAGCAGCTGCTGCTCTTCTGCTCACCTCTGCCCCAAAATACCCAGAAGGGGAAAGGCACAAAACTGATTTTCTGGCACCTGTTATATACCAGGCACTTCACTAGCTATGTTGTTTTTAACTAGAATTCTGTCTATAACTGTATTGTTTTAATTCTGACAATAACCCTGTAAGGTAGATATGATTTTAGTATTGTCAATGAGTACTCTGCCAAGGCCCAGAAAGGTTAAAAACATGCCCCAGTCACAACCTGGTAAGTGGCAAAGTAGGGATATGACCCCAGGAGTGTGTGTCTGGCTCCAGAGGCTGTGTCTGCTCAGTCTTCCATGCTGCTTCCAAGTCACAGGTGACCATACCTGGCCAGCCCAGGATCAGGCACTTGGCAGTCTTTGAGGAGGCTGTAGGAGAAAGGGAGATGCACTCTGTATTTAAATGGGATCCAGATCCAACTCCCTGGTCTCAGGTGGCACAACACGGAGTGGGCTCAAACCTGTGTTACTTCTTCCAGATGGCAGACATTGTTGAGGCGTCCCGCACATCCACCCTGGAGCTTCAGAACCAGTTGGATGAGTACAAGGAGAAAAACCGCAGGGAGCTTGCAGAAATGCAAAGGCAGTTGAGGGAGAAAACCCTGGAGGCAGAAAAGTCCCGACTGGCAGCCATGAAAATGCAGGATGAGGTAAGCCCTGGTCAGACAGGTTCATCCTTTATCTCTTATTCAAAGTATTCTTCCAGCCTGCTTTGAAACCCTTCTGTGAGGGAGGGACTAGGGGGACGAGGGGGGTAAATTCCTAGAACAGCTTTTGTGCTGGATTCTTCATTCTTAACCCTCGGGTTGGTTATGTGGGCAAATGGATTCTAAGACACAAAGGACCCACTGACTCTGAGGTGAAATGGGAACAACTTTAACTTGACCATTTTCTTGATGAATCTAAAGTTTTCTGCCTAAAAAGTTTTGCTGTCTTTTATGGAGTAGCCATGGTGTGCCCAGCCATGTTCAAATGATATAGATACATATATTCATGTTTTAATTTAATTTAATCCTAGAACAGAGGTTATAGTAACCAACTGTTTTTCGTCCGTTCATTTTTGAAAACGCAGACTTTTATTGGGGTGGGCGTGGTGGGCAAGAGTTTCAGAACAACAATAATGGAGACTAAAGGAAATCCTCAGGAATTTACAAGTACTGAGATTATTAAAGCATATTCTTGGTTTTATATTTTAAAATAATAGAACAACCTGGGTTCGGTGGCTCAGCCTGTAATCCCAGCACTTTGGGAGGCCGAGGTAAGAGGATTGCCTGAGCCCGCTGGTTCAAGACCCGCCTGGGCAACTTGACAAGACCTCATCTCTACAATAAATCAAAAAATTAGCCAGGCGTGGTAGCGCGTGCCTGTAGTTCCAGCTTCTTGGAGGGCTGAGGAGGAAGGATCGCCGGAGCCCAGCAAGTCGAGGCTGCGGTGGCTGCGAGTGTGCCACTGCACTCCAGTCTGGGCGATGGAGTGAGATTCCAACTCAAAAAAAAAAAAATAAATAAAATAATAAAAATAATAGAATAAAGAAACCCAAATGTTAGCTCCCTTCAGGCTCGACCTCTAAAGAACTGCGAAAAATAAAGGGAATGTTTTTTGATTGCTTTAATGGAAAGCTTGAGGCTCTAAAATGCAAGCACAATGAATGCTGATTTCTAGCTGTGCCTCTTGCCAGCTGGATAACCTTGAGCATGTCACCCCAGTTTTCTGAGCATCTATTTCTCTTTAAAAATACACAAAATATTAATGACTTAATGATTAAATCAGATGACATGGAAGACTTTGTAGTAGTGGGTCTGTACATTCGGGACACTTAATAAATGTTAATTTCCCTTTTTAAAATTTTAAGGATTTTTTTTTTCATATACAGTGCCAAGAGCACTAAGATTCCACAGGAAAACAAGTTTTTCTTTAAAAAGCAAACGCTTAATTTCTTCAATGGTCAAAGAAAAGTCACCCATGAGTCAGTGCTGAAACTGTGTAAAAGAACAATGGATATTTATGACAGACTTCTAGAACACTTCTGAAAGGACCCTGATAACAGATCCCCTCTGGCTTCTGACTCTGGGTCATATAATACAGTACTTCAAGTAAGAATTGAAAGTAGCACTTTGACATTACAGGCCTCTTTGGCATTAAAAAAATCTTGCTTATTTCTACAGCAAAGAGGCAGAAGGATTCAGACATTTGCCGGAACACCTGGTCTGTTTTGACTTCAAAAGATCCCAGTGTCACAGTGACCCCTGCAGAGTATTTCCCATTACTTTTTCTATAATGGTTTTTATGCTAGAATCCTTGGGTTGGAAGAAAATTTAGAGATTCTCTAGTTAGATGAAGAAATTGAGGTCCAGAGAGATTAGTTAAGGCCAGATGGAGACCAATGCTGCTTATAAAAGAATAGTAATTTAAAAAAAAAAAAAGGAAGAAAGGATTCTTTGCAGTAAAAATAAAGATGTCCCTGCCTAGATTTTCTCACTGGTGTAGCCTTGTAAGACACTGTTTCCATTTGAACAAGATGTGGATACCACATCATTCTGAAGGGAAACTATAGTGAGGTACCACCCTTGGTTAAGAGATGAAGATGCTGGTATCATGGAGTTGTTTAAAAAGAAGGTGAATTAACAAGCCGAGGTCACTCTGGGTCCTTGGAAAACTCAACCTCAACTGTGCTCCCTGCCCCCATCCTGTATTTTGCTTGAACTGAGTTAAAGCTCTCTGGAAATACATGCATACATACATACACACACACACACACACACATAAACACACACAGGAGTCCATTTTAAGAGCCGTAGTACTTGCTGCCTTTGCTTTGAGAGAAATGGGCATTTTACCTATTCTGCCTCTGATGCAGTTAATCTCTGGAGAATTGAGACTTAGAGTTCACCAGCATTCAGTTTATTTTCGAAATCCTGTTTAGCAAAGGGTGACTTTAACTACTTAAAGGTAACACTAGTAGTTTCAAATGTTGTTTGCTGACTTTTGATTCAGGGTAAGTTGTTCTCAGACACTATGCTAGCTTTTTCTCTTCTGCATGCTTGTCAAGTACTCTAAGTTTGGCAGAGCCCTTATTGGTTGTCCATTGGGCCTGGAAGGCAGGATCATACTGAGCAGTAGATGAAGGGAAATGCTGGGCATTAGGAGACACACATCGGGCTTTGGAAAGGGTGCCAGGAAGGAAACGCAGGCTGCTTATTTGCCGGTCCTTCTTTCTGACTCTCAAACTCATGCTTTTGGGGATTCTTATATCTTTCGAAGATTGGTTTTATAATTATTCCAATGTTTCAGATGAGAAAACTGAAGTCATGGAGAGATTTAATGCTCTAGAATATGACATACCCTCTGCATCCAGAGAATGCCCCATGATTCTTTTTTCCATGGGATGATTTTTACTCTGTACTTTCATATACAGTTTAACTTACGGTTACCACCAAAACTAGACCAGGGTCTTTATGTGGAGATGTCTTTAAGGCTAGGCTGTTCTGAGAAATGTCACAGGTGTTCCCGCCGTCCTCCAAGAGAATACATTTCCTAAAGTTTTCCCACTGGATTTCCTAGACTAGCTCCCCCTATTGGGACAGAACCACAGAAGAGCAGTATTCCTTATGGAGTTTGCCAGGCACTTTCATATACTCCCCAAAGGAGCCCCTATTATATTCTCTTTCTAAAATTGTGCTGCACCCAGTACCCATAACAGCTCCTGGAGGGTAGGGCGCTGGAAACAAAGCAGATAGCCAGGGCTTCCCCAGGTCAGCCCACATAGATATATAAGGAATACCTGCTGTGTACTAAGGTGGCCAGGCTCCCCAAGGAGCTTCCAAGATGTTTAAAACATACACTGGCACTTGTGAATCAAGCTGTTTTGCTACTGTGCTTTCTTCAAAGCTGTTAGCTCAGTGCCACCTTGTGGATGGAAAAAAAACCCACTGCAAATTATGATAGCTGATCATTTTCTTCTACAAAGCAGTGGTGTTCATTTAATGTGCATGTTTGCATTGTTAGGTCTTGAAGCCTGCAGTTTGCTTTGGGGTCATTAATTTTGTTTGTTTGTTTGTTTTTTTACTCCAACTTTAAACCTCTTTGGGGGTGATGCTGAGATGGGGGCAGTAAGTTACCCTCTGGGAAGTACTTTTCTGGTTCAGGGGCTTTTAGGTGTTTTTGACATGACTCATAATTAGAACTGCATCTTGGCATTGCAACCCAGGAATGCTTGTATCTATTACAAATATAGGAATATCTCATACAAAAGAGTCACAAAACAATATTTGCTCGTACTCTACTCTGTTTTTTTTTTTTTTTGTATTCGATTTTAAAAATGGGCTGGGCATGGTGGCTTATGCCTATAATCCCAGGGCTTTAGGAGGCTGAGGTGGGAGGATTTATTGAGCCCAGGAGTTCAAGGTCAGCCTGGGACCCCATTTCCACAAAAAATAAAAATAACGAAACAAAACAAAATGCTGGTCAACATCTGCTAACTAGAATTTATAATCGAATGGATTGCTACTTGTAGCTGGAAAACACCCTCTTTTTACGGAAAAGGAAACGGAGGCCCAGTGGGTGGGGAGGTGGGTCCCGCTCAGGGTCTTCTGATGTCCCATGTAGTGGGAGCCACTGGATCTTCTTTCCCTCAGGGTCAGCTGTGCACAGTTTGTGGAGGTCTCTCTGCTCTTGCTGGACTCTATAAAGCCACCCTTTCTTTCCTAGATGCGTCTGATGGAGGAAGAGTTACGGGACTACCAGAGAGCTCAGGATGAAGCCCTCACAAAAAGGCAGCTCCTGGAGCAGACACTGAAGGACCTGGAGTATGAACTGGAGGCCAAGAGTCACCTCAAAGATGACCGCAGCAGACTGGTCAAGCAGATGGAGGTCTGTGGGCTGCATGGCATAAGCTGTGGGCCTATGGAGAGCATGGCTGGGCCACGAGGGAAGCAGCCTTTTTACTCACACCACAGCCTTTGGGAAGTCTTAGGTTTTTATTCTCTCTAACAGTCAGATGTAGAGAGGTCATTTCTTGATTGGAGGAAGAAACTGGGTTGTTCACAGACTCATAGGATGACAGAACTGAAAGGAATGGTGGACATAATGTCCTCATTGCCTTGAAGAGAAATGGAACAGATTTCCAGAGAGGTTAGGTGACTTTGGATAAGGGCACAGATAGTTCCTTTTCTGTGTGTTCTTTGGGGCAGGATTTCCAACTAACTATAAGGAGCCAAGACCGCTGCATGTCCAGAGAGGGGCACAGCTGGGCCCAAACTGCCTGCCGCCTAGGGGTCGTCACCTCTCATTTACCACATCATGCACCCCATCTTGCTCATTTCCTTTATAAGTAATCTGGCTTTGCCATGGCTAGCAGCAAACAGGGCTCAATGCATTGTTGTATACCTAGTATATACATGGTCCAAGATGGTATATCAGAAAGTGTGCAATGCTGTCACTAGATGGGGGTGATCTAGTCATAAGCTGAAAGCACAATATATTAGAAAAGTGAAAATGAAGTAATAGAATCTAAGTATAAACAGTCCACTGAGAATGACAAGAAGAACCTTAAAGCCAGTCCACCTGAACTTATAAAAAAGAATACTTCTCAGGAACAAAACTAGAAACACCCATACACAGCGACCCCCACCGCCACACAAATAGAATTTAGAGAAAGATAGCAACTCTAAAAGATGAGCCTCAGACTTTTGGGAGAAATTAAAATTGTCAAGGTTTTGATAAAAGTCAGGCTGTGCTCAAGGCCAGGAAGAGATGGCTTGAATTCAAAATCAATGGAATTCCTGATTCAAATGCGCAAGTAAACAGGAATAACTTTTTAAAGCCTTCAGGGGACTTAGTAGCAGTTTATATCTTAGGGAGTCTTGTTTCAGTCATTGAAGATTTTATTAGATGGTCCTGATTACAGTTTTATTACTCTGTTGTAGGATTTCTGTACATTTTGCTAATGTCCTAGTTCACATCTCTTTAGGGGAGATCATTTTAAGGCAAGCTAAGGTCAACCCAGTTAACTAGAAACTGATGATTCTAGGACCTAAACAGCCTGGCTAAATACAAGCGAAAGCCTCTTCAGGCAGTGGTGCGATGGGCCCTTGCCTGGACCCCTGTACACTCCTGCTGGGGTCTGTGCAGTATGGATTTTAGGCAAGAAGAAGGCCCCACGAAGAGGTGCTTGTAGCTGGAGATCGGGTTGTCCGGTCATCTCCCTCTAGAATATTCTGACTGAAAAGAATATTTCCTTTGGCTGACTTAAGGTCTAGAATCAGTAGCATAGTTAAGCTTCATTTATTCTTCTGCAGTATTTTAGATATTTCTCCACTAATTACAAAATGAATAGCTCTCAAGGCCCTGCTACCATGAAGTGCACTTGAGGGTTGTTTCCTCCTCTAAGAGGTGGCTGGCAGGATTATTCCTTTACAAGCACTTAAGTTAATTATTAGGACTCAAAAGCTCTCCTAATGAAGGACAAATTCTGTGAACTCAGAAACTCAGGTGGCTGATATATATGAATGCAACTCTTATGGGTCCTTGGTGACTTCTGACTAAAGTGAATTTGACCTTGGAGGCATTAGGAGCCACTGAATAAACAGGGGGCTTCAGTGCAGAACCCAGCTCAGTTCTGGGTTGGTCTTTGGGATGCTTGGCTCCTGGGAGGGAGTTTTCTAGCTTCCCTATTGGTTTCGGTCATTCCTGGGGGTCATTCACAGACATTAGTCATTCACCTGACTGCATTTTATTTTGGGTGCTTACAGAGGCATCCATAGTCTGTCAATCCATTTTGGCATCGCAGAGACAATATTTATATACTAATATGGCAGGCTCTCATTTAAAAACTCAAAATACCAATTGCATTTTAGCATTTGTGGCTCTGAGTTTACCCAGAAATATAACAAATTGGCTGGTGACAGAAGAAACACATGCACAAACCCCACAAACCCTGGTTCTAAGTGGGGCTGTTTGTGTTAGAAGCTTCTATTTTCCGATACAAAGCCACTTTGAAATGCTTATCTTTTAACACCCAGTTATGTCAAATTAGGATCAAACAAGAAAGATACAAAATATTATTTTTGTGTGATGACGAGTTTAATAGCATTGGCCAGCATTGCCTTTCTCTTTATCCAGTACTGGTTTGGGAGTACACAGTGCAAAGTGTGTGGCATTCCCTAGAAGAGAGGCAGGTGCAAGAGACTGCTTTAGACTGTATTCCTTCAGGACTCTTGGACATCCTGAGCAGGAGGGAGGCAGAACATCGTCCTGAGCATGAAGTGTTTAAAGAATGTGGCTTGGACACTATCTCAGCTTCCACATTGTACTTTTTTTCCTTAGTGATTTTCCCCCTTTAAGATTTCCCGCTTTAAGATTTTTCTTAAAGTTTGTTAAAACAGGCAACTGGCTTAGGCAGATCCGTTTAAAGTTATTAGTTCATAGGAGAAAAAAAAAAAGACTTGAAAAAAACATGTTTGTGTTAGAGTTTGGGGTTTTTCTCCTTTTATGTATTTTCTACATGCATGATTACATTTTACATGACCAAAGTTATGAAACACACAGTTTAAAATAAAGCTGCTCTGGGCAACATAAGAAATACGGTGTTTTGTTTTTCTAAACCCTGATGATACTCAGCTCTCTCTTCTTGCCCTTGGATTTTCTTTCCACAGGGCAGCCTTTCTCCTAATCTGAGTCAGTCCAAGTTAAGTAGCCTATGTTTGTGATTTCTTTCTTAGGACAAGGTGTCTCAACTGGAGATGGAACTGGAAGAAGAAAGAAACAACTCGGATTTGCTGTCTGAGAGGATCACTAGGAGCAGGGAACAGGTACTGTACTGTGGTTGAGTGATGAGTGGATTGCCCTGTGTGAAAAGGGGAATGTGAGGGGTTAAACCTGGAGATTTAGTTCAAGAATGGATAGTTCATACCCTGTGAAAATTAATGGAAGATTGAGTAGTCTTTCCCATAAGATGCTACTAGGAAAGGGATGCAATATTTAACATAAAGCAGAAAGTACAAGTTTCCAGAGTGGTTGTGAATAACAACCTATTAGTCATAACAGGCAAAATGCTCTTAGAGTTGAGGCTCTAAGATTCATTCATTCAACAAGCAAGTGTGTGAAATGTGGTAGCTAGCAATATGTTTGGTGCAACAGAAAGTAAACTTGATGTGCAGCCTTTTCTTTTAAGAATTTTAGAAGTTAATTATTGATATATACACAATTCAGTAACAGTGCCTTCCAAGTGAATGCTTTCTGCAGTTTTAGAAGGAGTTCCACTTACATTTGATCCTTTTGACAACACTGAGGTGATCAGGAAAGTTATTGTTCTCCCACTGTAGATGACGGAACTAACTTCCCAAGCTACATGCAGTATCATCCCAAAGTTTTGGTTTTTGTTTCTATTTTTAAATTAAGTGAAGTTTCAGAGTGTAATGTACTGGGTAGAGGAGGGTGGTTATATCACTAGGAAGTAGGGCAATGCGAACTAGGTTCTGTGTCCCCAGTGCATGCTCCAACCACGTGACCGATAAAATGTGGAGACATTTTGGGACAAGGATTCAGAGCACTCAGTGGCAGCATTTTTTCTTTTTGAGTCAGGGTCTCATTCTGTTGCCCAGGCTGGAGTGCAGTGGCATGATCACAACAATCACAGCTCACAGAAGCCTCAACTTCCTAACCTCAGGCGATCCTTTCACCTCAGTATCCTGAGTAACTGAGACTACAGGTACACACTACCACACCAGTTAATTTTTTGAAATTTTTTTTTGTAGTAATGAGGTTTCGCTATGTTGCCCAGGCTAGTATCGAACTGCTGGGCTCAAGCAGTCCGCCTGCCTTGGCCTCCAAAATTGCAGGATTATAGGTGTGAGCCACCATGCCCAGCCTCAGGGGAAGTTTTGAAGAGAAGTAATTTGTGTTCACTAGTGTCAGCCTTTCGTTTTCATAATACCTGTGGACACATATAGAAATTTCTGATAAGATGTGTTTTCAACATACTCAGTTATAGGCCTAGCACCTTGAAATGGCACCAGAGGAACTGGATGTCGACATTTAGAAAGCCCTTCACTCTTTCTTGTCTAGGATTGGCATTTTCTTCATTAAAAGATGAGAACAAAACCTAAAAACTTTGGAATGATGCTGAGTCTAGGTTAGGAAATTATATGCTAAAGAATTAAAATTTAAAATCTGAATTGCAGGTATTGGGCAAAATCTTTCCTATCCAAGAAGGCACTTTCCTTTGGTCTGCTTACTCACGTGTACTTTCTTTCCCTTAGTTTAGGGTGACCAACAGCTAGAAATTTCAGTGCTTAGGGATAGCACCACTGTGAGCTGGCAGCCCCACTCAAAGTGGAAAGTAAAAAACTGACTTCTTTTCCATACCTCACTGTATCGTTTTTGACAGGTTTCTCTGCAGACAAGTGTGATACCCATGGTACTTTGCTCCTGAGAGTGAAGGAAATCGCAGCCCCAGGCTCCGTTCACCCTCCCACCTGAGTGTGGGTTCTGCCTGTGTGTTCCATGGCTGTGCTAATACCATTCCTCTAGGGGGCTGGCAGCCCAGCAGACCTGAGCTGCAGAGGCTCAGAGAGGGACCTTCCTGAAAACCAAAAGCCCATCTGGAGAGCTCAACCTTGACATTTGCCCCGCACCCCCCAAAGTTCTTATTGAAGTTTCTATTTCCTAAGTTCTCTCACTAGAATAAAAGCTGTTTTGTTATGAGTTCTTGCTAGCTTGGCTAAGTAGACACATAACCGTAGGACATTTCAGGATCAGCTAAGCATTCACAATGATGGAAGAGGTGACCATGAATTTGTTTTGCCAGCGTTTCTTGTGCCTTATGCAAAGAGGAATGGTGGGAAAATCTGTCATCCTATCAATAACCAGGCAGTTAAAACAGACTTTCAGTTCCATGTTTACACCAAAAACAAAATACAGACACACTGAACCAGAACACATTTGCCTCCCTTGGCTCAGCTGATGTCCTAAACCTAAGAGAACTGTTTACATGTCAGGTCCCAGAATTGCTGTAAGTCCTTTTTCCTTTCAACTGAGAACTTGGATCATGGGGAATAGAACTGCTATCTGTGATGCTGGTCAAGGTTGAAAATATTTCCACTGAGCGAAGAACTTGAAGTCAGTTTAAGGAGGAAGTTATGGAAACCAGGAACTTTAACTAAGTCCAAGGAGGAGGTTAAGGGAACTCACTTGGTCTGCTGAAAAAGCACTGGGCCAGAAAGCCTTTTTTCTTATTCACTTAAGCCCTACCACTAAGACTAGAAGAAGAATGGCAGATGTTTGGGGAAAGCAAAGATTCAGAATGAGGCGCTTGTGAGAATTCAGAGTTTAAGTAGAGAGTTGTGAGTTCTAACTTATTAATTTAAAGAGTGCAAGATCCAAAAAATAAAATTTCCTATGCCTTGCCTTTTCAGTGATATTAGCGAATTAACCCTTTTCGCAGAATCTTAGATTTGGCAAGGGCCTCAGAGTTCAGCTCTCTAGACTTCTCTGTAACAGATGAACTATTTAAGGACCAGAGCCACCTGGTGATTTGGCCAGAGTCATGCAGGCAGTTGGCTGCAGAACTGGCCTCAGGTCTTGATGCCCAAGGGAATTCTCTTATCTTCCAGTGCTTGCAAAATAGGATGAATGCCCACTGGGTGCGTGGCACTGTGGTAAAGCTACAAAACGACCAGAAATGGTCCCTGTCCTTGAGATATTATGGGTCAGACCTAAAAAATGGAGAATTAACATAAAAAATAAGAGATACTAAATGCCATGTGAAGGATTCAAGTAGTTCATGAAGAAAAGATCATCATAGCATAGCAAGGGTGACCATGGAAGGGTTACTAGAGAGAGGTTGACCTGGGGTCAGCTCTGAAGAAAGGGTAAGATTTCGAGAACCCAAGAGGAGTGGGAATGGAATTCTAGATACAGGGGATGGTGAGGACACGGACAGCATTTTGAGGAGCAGTGCATAGATGGCTGTGGTTCAATCAGGTTTTCAGTTTCTACAGGGAATAAAAATAGGGAAGTTTGGAGAGGCAGATTGAGGTTTTGAATGACCCTTTCTTGAAGGCAGTGGGGAACTCGAAGGCTTTTGAGCAGAACAGTGAAGCGTGCACGGTGTTCTAGAGGATCAATGTGGTAGAGAAGGGAATAAGGACTGGAAAAGAGGAAATTGGGGGGAGTCCTCAACTGTAGGGACAGAGGACAGGAGAGGCAGTGTGAAATTGAGCATTCTATCCTTTCCAAGGCTCTGGTTTTACTTTCTCTTTCTTGTGCATACACATGATACTCAATAAATACCGACCACATTGTTTATAAGTTCCCAGCCTTTCTAAGGCTTTTCTTTTTCATATATATTCAGGATAGTATTATTCAGACTGATGGATTCAGGAAATCCTAATGAGAGAAAGATTTTTCAAACTTCTTGGATGCTTGGAATTTGTTTTAGAATCTGGCTAAGATGAAGGAGAAGGGATGGATGTGCAGTTGATACAACAATATCTTCTTTTATAAAACAGGTGAGGAGTTATCTGTTTTCTCACTCAAATGTAGTTTGACCATATACAGAAAGGTTTCTGGTTGACTAATAAGCTGAAGGAAAATTCAGTTAAATCATAGGTATTTTACTGGCATATGGTCTGCTTAAATCCAGAGAAATTCTTTTTCCTCTCTTTCCTCCAAAATCCATATTTCCATCCTTAATGAGGGTTCTCTAACTGCTAGGGGCTCTGCTGTGTGCCTTACCTGCTTTCCCATTGTTTTCAGGGCTTTCAAGGTGAAGTGACTGTGTAGGGTCACACAGCCTGTGAGAGGTAGAGCCACAATTTGACTCCAAAGCCTACCACCTCTGTTCTCATCATCCCTCAAGCAGACTACGTAAGAGTCTTAAAGACTCTCCCCCTCCCAATGCATTTGGGCCTCTATTCCCAAGTTAAAAATAACGTCATGCTGTTTCTTGAGACGGGTGAGGATTTTTTTTTTTTTTTGAGTTGGAGTCTCACTCTGTCGCCCAGACTGGAGTGCAGTGGCCGCTCCCAGCCACCGCAGCCTCGACCTGCTGGGCTCCGGCGATCCTTCCACCTCAGCCTTCCGAGGAGCCAGAATTACAGGCATGCACTACCACGCCCGGCTGATTTTTTGATTTATTGTAGAGATGAGGTCTCGCTGCCCAGGCGGGTCTCGAACCCGCGGGCTCAGGCAATCCACTCACCTCAGCCTCCCAAAGGCGCGGGGATTACAGACTGAGCCACCGAGCCCAGCTATGGGTAAGGATTTAAGTTTCCCTGGTCCTCTCCTGATTCTTTATGGGTGTGGGATTCAAATAGCCAAAAAGAGATCTGGCTTGGTATGTTTTCAATATGCCTGGCAGGCTCAGTGGGCACTGCTGGTGGCTGGTGCAGACAGCTGCTGATAGCTGAGTGCAAACAGTTAACGGTAGGGCTGGGCCTAAATGGGGAGGCATTCTCTTGGCCATGGAGACCACGATGACCCAGCCCAATGGAAAGATGATTCATCCAGCCCAGAGAGCTGGCAGGCAGGAGGAAAAATACCAGCTTGAGCTTAGAGTGGCTTCACAATCTGTCCAGGACTTAGCAAGCCTGCCTTGTTGCCTTGGCAACTGCAGGATAAATCCCAGTGATAAAGTTGCAGGCTCCTACTGTCACTTTTTGGGAACTGCTCCTCAATAGCTCACACCTGCTCCCTAGCCAGCATCAGAGGATGTCACCCCAGGTAGACAGGAAGTAAGTTCTTTGCAGTCGGTGAGTGAAAGATCAAAAGGGGTTTTCTTCTTTCTTTCTTTAAAATGAAAATGATTCTC